GGCACACTTGCTTTTGTTGATGACGTCCACACACCAACCTTTGCCTCAATCCCGCTTCCTGCTTGATGTGTTTACCGTTTGGTCTTGTTAACACCATTTTTAACTATATAAACAACACAAGCAAACATGAGTAAATGATAAGCTTAAAATTATTTAATAAATTTAAGCATCATCTTGTCAAACTCTGTAAATGACTTGTGTCTTAAAAAAGGTCGCAATTCCAAATTAAATATTGCTTATAAAGTGAAGTTCGTTGCTGCAGTTACAAACGTGGACCATGCAGCGATTTCCATCTGTCGCAGCACTTTCACGATATATGGTTAACCGCCCTTAGCAGCAGTTATACTTTATTTTATTTTATTTCTTTATTAATTCAATCGTGGCAGATGCATAACACACTCAGTGCCGATCCTACGTAAAGTTGGACCTGAGTCAAACTTAAATAAAGGCCCTTATCAACATGAATTTTTCGGTGGTATATTTTTCTAATTAAAAGAATTTGTACCACAAGCAATATTAAGTACGGGGTAACTAAATGAACTTCGTACAATATAATATAAAAATTGAATATTAGAACACAATTTAAATAACAAAGCTATCATACTGTATTTAAAACCAATGTGCTAGATACTCCGTATATAAGTCTTATTTGTAAATTAGAGAAGAACTCAATCTTATTTGTGTTTTCTTCTTTTTAACTGACTCAGATGCAAATCATGCAAGTGCTCAAATGCTATTGAATTAGAAAGTATGTGTTGTGAGCTATTCAATTAGAAAGTATATGTTTCAATTAATTCAACTTAAGACAAAGTATATGTTGCAAATTTTGCAATTAATTCAACACAAGACTTGTTGGTGTAAATCGATCCAAATTCACTCAAAAAGAATAAAAATGAAAAATGAATGAAGAATTAAGAATGAGTGGAAATCACGACTCTTCTAATTAATCTAAGTCAACATTCGTGTATTCATCTCCTCTTCCTCACACAATAAATGGTCTTTAAAACTTTTTATAAAGCAAGTTTTAACAAAAAAATCAATAATTAAAACTCGAAATTTAAGTAAAAGAAGAAAAAAAACATGATAGCACTTAACTAACAAGTTAGCTTTTTTAAATTTACAAACCAACAACTCAATAATTGAAAAACGTTTGTGTATATATTTATATAAAGGTTTTTTAAAAAATTGGGCCCCTAATTTTTTAACATTTTGTGGACCCTGAGGCCTATGCCTCATTGGCCTCAACATTAGGCACGGCCCTGAACACACAGATATGTCATACGGATGCACATGATGTTCAAGGGCGGGAACAGTTTTTCCCCATCCGGTTCCCTTGTTATATATATAAAGATATAGATTCCATCAAACTCTGTATATTTATACATAACTAGACGAAGTACCCGTGCAATGCACGGGATATATCTAGAATTGAATAATGACTTAATTGAAATTAAGTTTTTTTTTTTGTTTTGACCAAATTAAAATTAAGTTTTATGATGGTACATAATGTGTAACGTTGTCAAATAAAAAACAATAGAGTTTATGTGTTGTTACTTTTATTAATTATAGTAACTGTAAGAAAAATGAAAATTTGGATCATAAAAACTTTCAAGTAAAATTAAAATAAATGATAAGTTATATTCACTAACAATAACTCTTCGTGACAATGAAATAATTTTATAGTACAACTATTAGTAGGCATCATGAAATGTTTTTGTCATATTTTCGCGAATATATAGTACATATTCTGTTAAACTCTAACGTCTTAGACGTGCTGTACAAATCAGTGATTGATAATTCGCTAGCAAATCCAGTGAGTATGACTTTGGCACATTATTCAAGAAGGGAAGTAGTATGAGTAATGAATAGTGCAGAAAAAGTAAGAGAGAATGTGTTAATGTATGAAAGAAAAGTATAAAAGTAAGAATAATTGAATATTTTTTAAGAAAAATTTGCTAAAAACGAAAGCAAAACAAAAGTTGCATGAAGTCACTAATAATAGTGCTATCAAATTAATTCATTGTCACATAGAGTTATTGTATACGTTATCGTTTATTTTAATTTTACATGCAATTTTTCATAGAGGTCTTTCCTAAAATATTACTAATAGAAAATATGTGACTATAAGTTACTAAGTGTAAGTTTTGTAGTCACTATCATGTGACATTTGAATACAATTGTAGTCACTAAAATTACTACAGTTGTATTTTTGTCCACTACTATTATTTTAATCATATATTTGGAATTATTTAGATCTTTTTCATGCGATCCAATTTTGCATTTTCTTACACCTACTACTACGTAAATAATTAATAAAAGTTACAACACATAAACTCTATCGCCTTTTTTATTTGACATAAGTACACATTACTTACTATCGTAAAACATAATTTAAATAAGTTATTGTACAATTCTAAATATACTTTGTGCATGCACTGCATGGGTGCGTTTATTTTATATTGAAAATGTTAGATTGGGTTACATTGTGGCATATACTTTTTAGTGTTCAAGCTTTAATTTCTATGAATTTATGTTACCATAAAAAATGTTTTTTCATTTAATTAAAAAAGTGAAAGTAGTGTTTCCAAAGGCGTGTTTTTTACTTAATTTACACATTAATAATTGTTCTATCAAGCTATTTGATTGTTACATAGAGTTATTGTTATACGGTTATACCTTATCATTTATTTTAACAGTAATGAGGTTTCTAGTGAGAAAGACTCGTTACTATTTTGGATTACATCTTGTTCTTTTATAAAAAACATAAAGATTATAAAAATATTATTGATAGTTATTAATACTATAGTTGTAAATCGATAGACTAAATTATAGAAAATTTGCCCTAATTAAATATGAGTAAAAAAGTTTTGAAATTTCAAAAAATGACTCATGTGTCTTTATTCCCGAAATATAAGTTGCTATTGCCATGATTGGAAAATGTTGTTACTAATGACAACAAATAATGTTATGTCAGTGCCTAATATTGGAACTATTTTGATACTAATGAGTCGAAGGTAGCAGTAAGAATGTTTTTACTTAAATTGTAATTGTTGAACACTAAAATTTCTAATACTCTTTGTAAACATTCAATAACCAAAAGAATTATTGATAGTGTAGTTTTAAAATTCAAAAACTTTACATTATCAAATACCCAATATTAATATGTAAGGAGTATCACATTTTCTTGATATGAGTAGAAAAAGTGAATCAGTTTGGTCTGATCTATTTAAATCTGATTTGATCTCATCTGATCTTTTCTGATAAACATATGGCTTAGATATATTTTACTTGTCTTGTCTGATAAGATCAAGTCTGATCTGTTCCATTTAAATTTGACCTGATCTGATCTAATTTGTTTAAGTCTGGTCTAGTCTATCAACTGGAAACATTTCAATTAACATATCATACATATTCTAATATGCCATAAATAAAACCCCACCAATGATATATCACAATTATTATTATTCTTATTATTATTATTATTATTAGAGTTTTTTTCCTAAATAATGCCCAAGGAAAAACTATTTACCAAATTAATGTTAAGTTAAAATTTATTACCAAAGTACTGCTGCTTCCAACCGGGGTTAATGAAAGTCGCCCAATGAAAGGGCGACTTATGTTCGTATTAGTTTCGTGCAAGAATGAATCAACCGGCTGCCCAGCAACAAATAGAAAGCTGGTGGGACCCATATTCAATTAAATCTCTTTATTCTTTAAATGACCATAACTTTTTTATTATAAGTTCAATTTTTACAAAAAATATATCAAAATTCGTAATTTTTTATGATCTTTCATATGACACCAATAATGTTTATATAATTTTTAAAAAATTTAAAGGCTAAATAGCCTAAATGCTTAAGTCAAATACCAAAATTTTGTTTCTATCAAAATTTGTTTCTCACGGTACCTATCTTAGACTCAAAGTGTATATTAAAATTTTTAAATTTTTAATATCTTTAATTTGACATCAATGTTGCATATATATAATTTTTTTAAAAATCTCAATAGCATATGGTGTCCAATTGAAGTATACAAACTCAATGTTATATGGTGTCCAGTTGAAGTATTCAAAATTTCAAACTCAATGCTAGATGCCGTAAGATGTGTAAATATATGGACGTTAATTTGATAAATGTGCCTAGTTGTTGATAAATGTGTCAAACACAAATCACTCTTAAATTCTTACTTTATATATAAAAAAATTTATCAAATTTGATTCAGGCTTTTGCGACTTTGTACATCTTTTAATGTAGTTTCTGAATATGTCATTTTTTTACCCTAAAAATAATTTGAGTGCGGACAAAGATTCGTTTATTTTATCGTTGGTCAAACATCGTAAACCGTAAAGGGACAATAAAAAGGGGGACGGAGGTAATATTTGCAATATTGATGTCAAATTAAAGATTTTAAAAAATTTATAAATTTTCATATGTATTTTGAGCCTAAGTTAGGTACCGTGAGAATTTTTTTTATAGAAACAGATTTTTGATATTTAAGTTGGACACCATATGGACTTTAATTTTATTTAAAAAATTATATAAGCATTATTGGTGTCATATGAAAGATCATAAAAATTATGAATTTTGATATATTTTTTGTCAAAATTGAAGTTATATTAAAAAAGTTATGGTCATTTAAAGAATAAAGAGATTTTATTTAACATGGGTCCCACTAGCTCTCTATTTGTGTTTGGCAGCCGGCTGTCACCTTCTTGCGCGAAACTGATAGGAACGAAAGTCGCCCTTTCATTTGGCGACTTTTATTAACCGTGGTTGGAGGCAGCAGTATTTTGGTAATAAGTTTTGACTCAACATTAATTTGGGAAATAATTTTTTCTTCACCATTATTTTGGAAAAAAACTCTTATTATTATTATTATTATTATTATTATTATTACCATTAATATTATTATAATTATTATACTACTATTACTACGTATTATTTTCTTAATTGAAAACACCACAATTATTATATTACTATTTTTATTGTTGATTGCTATATATTTATGTAATTCTTATTTTTCAGCCAGTATGAATCATTACATGCGTGATTGGGTGAGAATAGCAAGATGGCATACCTTGTTATTATGTATATTACGTACTTCGTATTGGTATTATACTTTTTTTTTTTTTTTTTTTTTCTACAAAAAAATTCATACGAGTAAACTGATTCCAACAAAGAAAAAGCATTCTGGAAAGCAAAATAGGAGGAAGAAGATTCTGGGAACAAGGAAAAATTCTAGAGGAACCATTCTGGGAAGTCAAGTCTGGATTTTCCCAGATCTGGGTTTGGGGTCGCCGGAGCCGGAGCCGTTGTCACCCTCCCGCCGTGGTGGACCTCCGGTGAAGTCAGCTGCGTCAGGGGAAGCTCGCTGCAGCATCCCAGAAATTTCCGGCGGCCACCGCCTGAGTCGCACACCACCGCCCGTCAACAGCGGTCTGAAGAGGTATAGTCGGTAGCTTGGTCGGGCTTCCGCCGGAGACTAGCTCTTCCGGCCGTCCTTGCTCCGCTGCGGCTTCCATTGCCACCCTCAGTCAGCGGACGACCGGTACTGCTTGGCCTTGGTGGGATGTTTCATCTCTCCATTAGATTCCCCTCACTTGGCTGAAAGCACTCCACGTACAATCCGTATTGGTATTATACATATAGATAGATACATATCAATAAGATGTAATTATTATTTCCTTAGGTGTAGTAAGACAACTATAATAATTTTTTTAATTAGACTAATATTTTAAGGTAGTCGGGTTTGATATGTTTAAATCTGATTTGGTTTAATTTGATCTGATTCAATAAATATTTGGTGTATGTATATTTTACTTGTCTAGTTTGATCAGACAAAGCATGTCCTATATAAGCCCGACTTGATTCGGTCTTATAATATTCTCTAATCTAGTGAGTCTTATTTAATTTTATCGTAAATTCTCTATTTTGCCCTTATTTTGGGCGGGATTTGGGCGGGATTTTTCCCTCTAGTTGTGGTACAACGACTATTACTCTAGCCCAAAAAAGAGTCATGTTTGAGTAAGGTACAACTTTTTATTTTTAGTTACCTCAACCAACGTATAAGCTTTTACTGTTTACATGTAAGGTAAACTTAAACCCCTGTTGAGGTTTATTCCTTCAACCCGTGGACCCAACACGTAAGCCCAAAGGTTTCGAGTGGAGTGAGTGTATGAATGTCTAGCCCAACAACTATCAGATGGATCAGGAGACAAAAGCAATAGCAGGCAATGTAAATAGGTATTATTAACTTCGTAATAACTCCCCTAAATACAACCTACTTGCTAAAAGGGCACGTCGGCCGTTCGTCTTACAAGGCAGTTAGAAATGCTCAAGTAAGAATGCTGGAGCTAGTATGCTAAGAATAGTAAGTTGCCAACCCTTTACAATGAAATAAATGCTTCTATTTATACCCGCCAATGGGCAGGTGGCTGTACTGACGTGGCAGCCTGTGGACCGCTGGTGTCCCAACTACCAAATCTTTAGCATTAAATGCACTTCCCGCCAGAATCTAGGTTTCCCGCCGGATCAGTGGGGACGTTCGTCCACCCGGGAAGTGAGTTGGATTGCTCCAAGTGACCCTTGAGGGATATTGGCCGTTCGTCTCCTGGCCTTGATAGATACTCACCATGTGCACTGGGTTTTCTCTGATGACTACAGGCTTGCTCTGGGGACGTTCGTCGCCATCCCTGGTGGCCCGTGGCTCTGCTCCTTGTCCCTGCATAGACGTTCGTCGGAATGAGCTGCTGGGCCTGAGTCCTCCAACACCAGACGTTCGTCCATCCTTAAAGAACATGGGCCTGTGGGCTGGCCTAGTTTCTAGCTGGACGCTCGTCTGGCAAAATGGGTTAGTGGGCCGGACCTCGGCTTGGGCCCTTAACCCAACACAAGTCCCCCACTTCTGATGTTCTGAGCATGCGCAGGACATAAGGAAGTATGAACCTCCCCGAAGTAGACGTCCGTATCTTGGTACTTGTGTTCATTGCATCTTGGTGGAAACGTACGCTCGTGGCCATGGTGCTTGACAGCTGTTGACGGTTCAGGAAACGAGGTGACGGCTGATGTTGCGGCGGCGCATTTTCCCGAGGAAGTGTCATCATTACGTTCCCATCCCACGCACAGCGCGTGGGCCGGAATACGCTCCTTGCCACGTGTCAGCCCCTCGTTGGTTTCTCCATCGGTGTTTCCCCTATAAATGCTGGGTTTGCCCTCTGAATTAGGGTTCCCAATTTCTGCTCTCTTGCTCTCGATTTTCCGCAGCTCTTCAAGTTTCCTGAATTCGGCCAACCATACCTTTGTAAGGTAATTTCCCCCCTTTGCTTCTTTCCTTTACTCTGATTTCTAGCCGGAATGACTTCGATGGAGATTTCCTCAAGTTCTGATTCCGGTTCGTCGGGTTCCTCCTCGGGCTCCTCTTCTGAAAATGCTAATGCACGCTCCCTGGGAAAAACTAGTGTTTCCGGAACCTCTGGTTCGGCCACGACGGTGGGGACCATCCGGGCTGATGGCGAGCCGGATGATGTGTCCCAAGATAGTGGGAGCGACGCCAGGGGTGGGGATGCCGATGAGGCAGTGGACGTTATTGATGCGGTCTACCTGAATGAGCGTCCTGCTGATTATGATTCTGGAGAGGAAGCCGAATCCGGTTCTGATATGGAGGTGTATGATCTGGGCATCCCCACGGATATGGAGCGTCACATCTGCCCGATTAGGAGCGCCCTTGACCACGACCAAGTCCTCTCCCGTGTGGCCCTCAATAAAATCCGCACCTTCCTTCCTCCGCCGTTCGTCTGGAGTGTGAGAGGCGCTGAGCATGTGATGAGGAGACGTCCGGGGATGATCATGCTCCACCTGGATTCCGTTGAAGCCGGGCTGCGGTTTCCACTTCATACGTTTTATGTGGAGTTCTTCCACTGCTTCCAGGTGGCTCCGGCGCAATTCATGCCAAATTCTTACAGATTCATATCGGCCTTCTTGGTGCGCTGCAAACTTGCGGGGGTCGATGCCACTTTGGAGCTCTTCCATTATTTCTACCGCGTCACTCCTCAGAATGCCGACGGGTATCTGAGCGTGGCCGCACGTCCTGGGAGGCGGCTGTTCAAGAACTACCCCTCGTCCATCCACGACTGGAAGAACCGCTTCTTCTTCCTTCGATACGACGGGCCTCCTCTCCCTCTCCGGTGGAATGGGTATCCCCCAAAGATTGAGTCACCGGAGCCGACCGACGATCTGCTTTTGGATGCGGAGAAGGTGTTGGAGGGTGGCGTCCGTCCCATAGCCGGATTTCTGACCTTCGAGGCACTCTCTGGGGCAGGCATAGGTACCGCCCGTGTTCCTGGACTTTTTCTACCCTTCGACGCTCGTCTCGGGGCCCGGGCGGTCCTGTCCTTCGAGGTGAGTGTCTTATTCTACTTCCCGCTCGGCTTCTAATCCTTGTTGTTTCTTGCAGGTTCACCGCCCGATAGAGACCAAATGAATCACGCCGAGTGTCTGAAGACCAGGAAAGCCAAGGCGGCCGCGGCTAAAGCTGCGATGGCGAAAGCCAAAAACGCCCCCGCCTCGGAGTCCAACTCCTCGGCCTCTGATGCTGCCAGGCGAACCGCCGAGGGTGAGCAACATTTAATCGCCACCATGCTGGCCCAGGGTTCCGGGGCCCCTGCTCTCGAAGCCGCCCTTCCGCCGCCGGTCGTCCCCACGAAGACGGCTCCTCAGAAGGGGACAGAGAAGGTCCCTGAGAAGAAACAGAAGTGGGGCCGCGAGGCAGGCTCCACTGGCCCCCTGCTTGAAGATGCCGGGTCCCTGCCTTTGAGCCGCCCGGCGGAAGAACTTTGGAGGGAGATGGCCCTCAAGGCCGGTCTCGAGCTGCCCCGCCGTTCGTCGTCCGAGGCGACAAGCGCTGCGCTGGCAGCCGCTCTTCAGGTAATTCCTCCTTGCTAGATCTGAGCATATATATGTTTTCCTTGACGTTCATCCTTTGATCCTTATTTTTTTTTTTTTTCTTCTGTCATCCAGTCTGGGCTCCTTGTCCTTCAAGCTGAAGCTGCCCGGGAGGCCGATCTGATGGAGGCCAAGGCTAAAGCCGATGCGGCCATTGCTGCGGCTCGGGAGGCCGCCCGTCGATCTGAGGCGGAGGCTGCAGCCAAGGGGAGGGAGATTGCAGCCCTGCAGGCTGAATCCCGCAGCCAGTTGGCCGGCCTTGAAAGAGCCGGTTTCAAGCTTGTTCCGGTGCTTCCTGCCGCCAAGGACACCACTCCGGAGTGGTTGGTCGACACCTCCGGCTACAGGAACACTGGGGAGTTCATGGACTCTGCCAAAGACTATTGTGCCGGAGTCTTCGCCGACTTGTTTGCCGTTGCTCTGGAGAAGATACCGCCCCGCCAGCGTCTGGCCCGCGGCGTCCGGCTACTTGAGGGTTCTCCTCTGTCCCGCAAGTTCCTGTACGAGGTCGGCGACAGCACCTTCTCAGCCGGGTATAACGAAGGGGTTAAGGCCACCCTCCCCATCTTTTCGAGGCTGCAGGGGGCCGACTTCGAGCTGGCAGCGCATACAGACGACGATCTGCTGCTCCAGGCTTTAGGGAAGCTAGCGAGGGACCAACGGCGGGCGGAAGCAAAGGCCAGAGGGGAGGTTCCGGAACCCCCCACCCCTGAGCCCGAGGCCGAGGAGGAAGAGCAGACTCCGGGAGGCAGCCGGCCAGGATCCCCTTTCTTTGTGTAATGTAAACTGTATTTTTCTATTCTAACTTCTGTAATATCCGGCCATTAGAGCCGAGGAATATACATCCTTTTGCCCATAATTGTTCCATGTTCATGATCTCTGCTTGTTACCTTTCTTCCTTTTGTCCTTTGTTGTATGGAAACTCCCTCTTTGCTCTGGGGACATTCTCTGTCGCCTAGTCTGCGTGGACGTTCATCTCTGTTCCCCACTTGGCTTGGGGGCAGGGGCGTCCCTCTGCCAAAACCCTGTACATATTTAGTGCGTGGCGCCAGTGTTAAGGTCCGTCTCCGGACGGCGACACCCGGCGCCGATACTGGCTGCCCCTCCTGCAACCTCATTCCGATGGCAAGACGACGCTCGTCGGGGGTTGACCAAACAGCACGCTTTGCAAGTGTGGTCATACGCACATCGGAGATTGCCTCAATGCTTGCTAACGACGTTCTTCTATCGTCGCGCGGCATGAACGCTAAAGCCCCGCGCAAGGGTGTCCGCCTGTCCTGCGTTTTCATCAGGCACAAAGTGTGGAAAGGCGACGTTCGTCCTCCGTGCACCCTTAATGGACGTGATTTTCACTTCACCCTTTTTGTGCCCATCGTCTGTAGTATAAGGAATCCTTCCGGCGTCTCGACGCATCTTTACCGCCCACGCGGTATCTTGACAGTGGGAAGACGTTCGTCGGTAATTGCCTTGTCAGTACGCGTTTTGAGTATGGACATATGGGCGCATTTCCCTGGATCAGCGCTTGGTGACGACGTTCGTCCACATTTGCGTGACATGAAAAACTGGTGTACTGCAAGAGGGACGTCGCCAGTTGGTGCGTGTGCCCTCATCAGCCGCCGACGCTAGGGTCAGCCGGGGAGTTAAGGAAGCAAGGGAAGGCGAATGTCTTCAAATTCCTCCGAGCCGGTGAGCCCTCCTCAAGGGACGTTCGTGGTACGGACCCGGATGTCCTTGTGTTGGTTATGCGGCGATAAAATCGAGACGCCTTAAATACCGTGGTAGGTACCGGTACCCAGGCGCCACGTGTCCTGCTTCGGTTGGGGCAATTCCGCGGTGTTGCCTATAAATACTCAGGATCCAAGTGATCCACTCACATTTCTCCTTACGCTGCACAATTGCCTTCTCTCTCTAGACTTCTCTTTGATCGTATCGGAAATCTCGAACCCCAAGGTACCGTTCGTTGTCATGTCTTCCGAAAGTCGC